GGCCCCCTGCCATTATTCTAGATTAATGTAGCAAACCCCAACGGAAAAAACCAAGCTGAATAGAATATTGTCTGGCAGTTAAATAGACAGTGGGAAACTTCTAACTCAGGAAGCTGAACGCTGGAAGTGAGTGGCATGACCCTTGTCACCCAAGTGACGACGGTTCTCTGCAAGGGAAGCGCTTCCTTGTTGCAGCTTGCAGCCCGGAAACCTCTGACCAAGAGCTGAGTAACTCGTCAGGAAATCCCAACTCTTTTGTCTATGAAAGAATTCTAGCTAGAATTTGTGGGCCTACTACTGCCTCCCATTATTGTTCCTCCATGGTGACAGGTTTGTGAGTGTCCAAACGGGGGAGCCTAAAGGAAAGGGGGTGTGTGTGAGTGTGCGTGTTTTAAGGTGTTGGAGGAACTCACCTTCCCCTCGACTTTCTAATACCTGCATGTCTCTGCCTGGTCCCACTCACAGCATTAGTCTCCTCTGGTCTTTCTCATCGCTGTGGGGCTGTCCCCAGTCGTTAGAGACCTGTAGGTGTCCCTGAGGCAGCACCTGGAGGGCGTCACTGCCCTGTGCTCCTCACCCTCTTCCAGGACCTTTGGAAAATGTTGAAGTCCGGACCCTATGGTCGTGTCACTAAGGCAGCGTGGCTGTGTCGCCAGCTAGTGGGTAGAAGTTGGTGGAGGTTGAAGTAAAGGTCGGGCTAGGGTAAAGGTCAGAGATAAACCATGGGGAAGGGAGCCAGTCGGGGAGCTCCAGCCGTCCCGACTCAGCCCGAGGTCTGGACGCCTGAGTCTGCAGCTTCAGCGTTCTGGGCCTCCGGCTTGTTTAGTTCACACGCTTTGGCAAGGCATCGCCTCACCTGTCTGCCAGCGAGCAGGTACTGAGTGGGCCTCAGTCTGCAGCATGGTCTTGCAGATGTTAAAAAAGTAAGCTGCTGGGGCAGCAGGTGGCATGGTGGTTATGTCACTAGACTCCCACGTGGTCAACCATGGTTCAAGTCCCAGATCTGGTGGTTTGAAAATCACACCAGGCACATGTGCATGCATGCCCAAGATCCCAAGTAAGCTGCTGGGGCCAGCAGGTGGCACGATGGTTATATCGCTGGACTCCCACATGGCTAACCATGATTTGAGTCCCAGATCTGGTGGCTTGAAAATCATGCCAGGCACACACACACACACACGTGTGTGTGTGTGTGCGCGCACGTACACACTAGGAGAATGGAGGAGAAGGGACTGTGGCATGATCATCCCCCTGGGGGGTGACTTCTCACTTTCTCTCTGTCTCTCCAACGAGTGCACGTGCCCTATAGCAAACATCTCTCTCTCAAAATAAAAAAAGATAATCTGCCCGAGGCCCCTTTCCACTGTGGGCAGGACCGACTGGCGTCTGAATGAGAGCCGGAGTCTGCACTGGTAGAGGTTGTTCTGAGACCGCCTACCCGCCCCGCACACGGAACTCCTTACTTTCCCGTTCTCAGATGTGTCGCTTGCCCAGGTGGGGGTGGTTCCTCCTGGGCTTTGCGTTAGAGCTGTGTGTGTGTGTGTGGGGGGGGACAGTGGAGTCCCTGCTGCACCCCGGCACCCCAGCACCCTGGCACAGGAACATGGGGCAGAGGCGGGGACTGTTGTGCCTTCAGCTTCACAGGGTGCTGGCATGAGTCCAGTGCCCTTGGGGAGAGCTGCTCCACAGCCCCACGACACAGCTGCCATCAGCGGGGAGAGGTGGCCTCGTGACCTGGACCGACAGCCATCACCTCGGTCACTGCTGTTCAGCCCTGAAGATGGGCTTGAGCAGACCCTGGGCTGCTGACTTGGGGTGCAGCCCTCCCGCCATGGGGCTTCTCTGGTGCTTTTCCTTCACGGCCACCAGGAAGCCAATGGGCACGCCGGCTCTTTTCCTCCAGGGATGTGGCCATCGACACGGTGAAGACAGGCATGGGAGGCAAGGCGGGGAACAAAGGCGCCGTGGGCATCCGCTTCCAGTTCCACGGCACCAGCTTCTGCTTCATCTGCAGCCACCTGACAGCCGGGCAGTCGCAGGTGAAAGAGCGGAACGAGGACTACAGGGAGATCACGCAGAGGCTCAGCTTCCCCACGGTGAGCGCCGGGGCGGACTGAGGGAGCCGGCTTCCCGCTGCTGATGGAGCCGTTCTGGGGATGCACCATCAGCACCGGGCAGGGGGAGATGGCCGTGTCCTGAGGTCGGATCCAGCCTGCAATCCCCCCTCTGCCTTCCCTGCATTTCCTGACTATCTGATGAACCTTGATGTGCATTTCCCCATTTTCTAAGCAAGTGATGGAACGGGGAAGGACAACCTAAGTGATGATGCTTTAGTCAAGTGTGTGAACTGGGGTCCAGACCATAAGAGTCGGGATCCTTGAGATTCAGTCTTCACACACACGTGCTGCTGTGTCTCAGATCAGAAGCCCTTTCTGGAAATCACTGAACCCTAACGGCGGAGCTCAGGACCTCCCTATGTCCTTGGGGTTGCCAGTAACACATGTCATGCCGCCCTCTCGTGGTGGCCCCAGCATCCTGCACCCAGAGGACTTTCTTTTCAAGTTCATTTTCTCTTCTTATTTATTTAAAAAAACCTGGGATGGGAACAGCAGGTAATGTAAGGCTACGTTGCTGGACTCCCATGTAGTAGACTGTGGTTCAAGTCCCAGACCCGGTGGCTTAAACTCATGCTGGGTGTGTGTGCATGTGCCCAAGATCCTGAGAAGAGAATGGAGGAGAAGGGATTCCAGCGTGGCCATTCCC